CAAGGTGGCTCTGCCCAGAAAAGTCTATCAACAGTAGCAGTATGGCTCTAGGAGCTCGGGAAACCACAACCAAGGGAACCGAAGTAGTGGTGGTAGCGGGGGAAGTGAAGGTCAGGGTAGAACAAATTATAGGAAGAGCCAGCAACGTGGTAGCAATCAGAATACCTACAAGCCAGCCCTAGCAAATTTGTGGTTACAGCATAAGCCCGTGGACTGAAGGGGTCATGGGTGCCATTCCCAGTCAAGGACATGTACCTCAGTTGCTCAATCGCCAGCCCCATTTGGGGCACATGCAGGAGGCAACCAATTGATGTGTCTGACTCACATCGATGTTTCTTTCTCTCTGTCTCACCCACTCCCTTCCACTCTCTAAAAAAAAAAAAAAAAAAAAAAAAAAAAAAAAAAAAAACCCCCGNATGTTTCTTTCTCTCTGTCTCACCCACTCCCTTCCACTCTCTAAAAAAAAAAAAAAAAAAAAAAAAAAAATCAATGAAAAAAAATATCCTCAGGTGAGGATTAAAAAAACAAAAAAGAGAAAGAAAGAATAACTACAAGCCATACTGAGGCTTCGGCAAGACCCATCTGACCACACATGCTTTGTTTGGATATTGAGTGAACACAAACAATTATGTACCAAATTTAACTTGGCATACTTTCTATGGCCTGTCCCATGTGTATCTTATTTAAAAGTTCCCCCCGAAAATCACTCTCTTGTTTACTATTTCCAGAGCTCTAGTTGTTTTAGGCATCGTGTGGTGTCTCAGAGGCCAGAGTGGCTTTTTGGGCTGATTTTATTTCATTACCGGGTTACCCAGAACCAGATGGGTGGGTCTGTTTCCTGCTGCCGCTCTGCAGCCTGGACCTGTGGACAGAGGTCTATCTTAGGAAACCACTGTCACCTTTGTTCACATTTTAATTGTATATTATTTGTGTCATATATTTCCTCTAATGGAAGTGTTAATTTTACTGTACTTTTTGGTACCTTTTGGGAATCTAATGTATTATAAGGTATTTTACTCATGTACTGATTTTGCCATGACCTGGATATTGAAGCTATCCAAGCTTTTGAATAACAATGTAAACCCACTCCCCCAAAAATCAGTGTGGAAATAAATAAAATAGAGAACAAAAAGACAACAGAAAAAATTAATGAAACAAAGAGCTGGTTCTTTGAAAAGATAAAATTGAAAAACTTTTTGGTATATTCACTAAGGAAAAAAAAGAAGATGAAAATAAATAAAATCAGATATGAAAGAGAAGTTACAAAGGACACCACAGAAATACAAAAAATTATACAAGAATACTACAAAAGCCTATATACCACTAAATTCAATAACTCACAAGAAATGGACAAATTCTCAGAAATATCCATCCTTCTTAGACTCAATCATAAAGAACTAGAAAACATGAATAGACCAATCACTAGTAAGGAAATTGAAACAGTAATCAAAAACTTCCCAAAAAACAAAAGTCCAGGACAAGGACAGCTTCACTGGTGAATTCTACCAAACATTCAAAGGTTTAATACCAACCTATTCCAAAAAAATTAAAGACAAGGGAATACTTCCTTACTCATTTTACAAGGCCACCATTAACCTGATACCAAAACTTAGCAAAGGACAACACTAAAAAAGAAAATTACAGGCCAGTATCTCTGATGAATTTAGATGCAAAAAATTCTGAACAAAACTAGTAAATCAAGTACAGCAATACCTTAAAAGGATCATACATCGCCCAGCTGGGAGTGGCTCAGTGGATGATCGACCAAGGATCTAGGAGATCGCCATTCGATTCCTGGTCAGGGCACATGCCTGGGTTGCGGGCTCAATCTCCAGTTGGGGGCGTGCAGGAGGCAGCTGATCAATAATGACTCTTTCATCATTGATGTTTCTCTCTCTCTCTCCCCCCCCCCACTCTCTGAAATCAGTAAAGATATATTTATAAAAATAATAACAATGATATAAATAAATAAATAAATAAATAAAAGGATCATACATCATGATCAAGTGGAGTTCATTCCAAGGATGCAAGGATGGTTCAATATCCACAAATCAATCAATGTGATACACCACATTAACAAAATAAAAGATAAAAATCTTAGGATCGTATCAATAGATATAGGAAAAGCATTTGACAAGATAAAACATCCATTTATGATTAAAACACTCAATAAAATGTGTATAGAAGGAAAGTACCTCAACATTAAGGCCACATATAATAAATGCTCAGCTAACCATACTCAATGGTAAAAACTGAAAGCTTTTCCTGTGTGATCAGGAAAAAGACAAGGAGGCTCACTCTCACCAATGTTATTCGACGTAGTACTGGAATTCCTAGCCAGAGTAATTAGACAAGAAATAGAAATAAAGGGCATCCAAACTGAATGAAGTAAAACTGTCATTGGAGATGACATGATTGTATCTAGAGAAAATCCTAAAAACTCCACCAAAAAAAACTATTAAAAACAATAAACAAATACAGTAAAGTAGCAGGATACAAAATCAATATATAAAAATACATTGCATTCTTACTTACTAACAAAGAGAAAGAGAAATGAAGAAAACAATCCTATTTACAATTGCAATAATAAGGATAAAATACCTAGAAATAAACTTAACAAAGGATGTGAAGGACCTGTACATGGAAAACTGTAAGACATTGTTCAAAGAAATTGAAGAAGACACAAATAAATGGAAAGATATTCTGTGTTCAGGGACTAAACAAATTAACACTGTTAAAATGGCCATATTATCTAAAGCAATATTCAGATTTAAAGCAATTCCTAGCAAAGTCCTAATGGCACTTTTCACAGAAATAAAACCAAAAAACCCTCAAATTTGTATGGAACCCCAAAAGACCTCAAATAGCTAAAGCATTCCTGAAAACAAAGAACAAAGCTGGAGGTATCATACTCCGGCTTCAAACTATACTACAAAGCTTTAGTCATCAAAACAGTATGGTACTGGCAGAAACACAGATACACAGACAAATAAAACAGAAGTTAGAGCCTAGAAATAAACCCACACATATGTGGGCAACTAATTTTTTACAGAGGAGCCAAAAACATACAATGGAAAAAGGAAAGAAAGTCTCCTCCATAAATAGTATGGGGAAAACTGGAAAGCCACATGCAAAACAATAAAACTGACACCATACACAAAAACTCAAAATAGCTTGAAGACTTGACTATAAGACTTAGAACAATAAAATACATAGGAGAAAAATAAACACTAAACTTAAAGACATTGGTCTCAGAGGAGTTTTTGTGAACTTGACTCCAAAGGCAAGGGAAGTAAAAGCAAAAAATAAATTAATGGGACTAAATCAAACTAAAAAGCTTCTGCATCAACAAAACAAAAAGGTGACCAACCAAATGGAAGGACATATTTGCAAACAATACCTCTGATAAGGGGCTAATATCCAAAATATATAAAGAACTCATACAACTCAACATCAAAAAACAAACAATCCAATTTAAAAATGGGCAGAGGCCCTGCCCATTTGGCTGAGTTGGTTGAAGCAACACCAAAAGATTGCAGGTTCAATTCCTAGTTGTGGCACATATGGAAGGCAACCAATCAACGTTTCTCTCTCACTCTATGTTTCTCACTCTCACCTCCCTTCCTCTCTCTCTAAAAATCAGTAAAACATATTCTCAGGTGAGGATTTAAAAAAAAAAATGGACAGAGGACCTGAATAGGCAATTTTCTAAGGAAGACATACACATGGCCAACAGATATATGAAAAGATGCTCAACATCACCAGTTATAAGGGAAATGCAAATCCAAACCACAATGAAATACCACCTCACACCTGTCAGAATGGCTATTATCAATAAGACAAGAACTAACAGTATTGGAAAAAACATGAAAAGGGAACCCTCACACATGCTGGTGGGTATGTAAATTAGTGTAGCCACTAAGAAAAATAGTAGGAAGATTCCTCAAAAAGTTAAGAATAGAACTACCATAAGACCCAGCAATCCCTCTTTTGGTATTTACCCAAAAAATTTGAAAACAATTATTTGTAAGGATATATGTACCCCTATGTTCACTGCAGCATTATTAACAAAAGCCAAGACATGGAAACAACCTAAATGTCCTTCGACAGATGATTAGAGAAAGAAGATGTGGCACATATGGCATAAGTACTGTGGAATACTGTTCAGCCATAAAAAACATGAGATACTGCTATTTGCAACAACATGGATGAATCTTGAGAGTATGATGCAAAGTGAAATAAGTCAAAAGGAAAGGGACAAGAAACATATGATTTCACTCATATATGGGATATAAAACCAAAATCAACAAACAGCTTGGCTGGAATGGCTCAGTTGGTTGAGCATCGTCCTATGCACTGAAGGGTTACTACAGTTCCCGAGCAAGGCACATACCTCGGTTGCAGGTTCGATCCCCAGTTTAGGCACATGTGGAGGGTAGCCAATCAATGTTTCTCTCTCATATCGATGTTTCTCTCTCTTTCTACCCCCCCCTTCCTCTAAGCATGTCCTCGAATGAGGCTTTAAAAAAAAAGCAACAATCAATCAAAAAACCGCATATATACAGACAACAGAATGGTGGTTACCAGAGAAGAGGGGTTGGGGAAGGACAAAGAAAGTAAAGGGGGTCAGCCCTAGCTAGTTTGGCCCAGTGGTTAGAGTGTTGGCCCGTGGACTGAAGGGTTTTGGGTTCGATTCCCGTCAAGGGCACATACCTCAGTTGCAGGCTCAATCCCCAGCCCTGGTTGGGGTGCATGTGGGAGGGAACCAATCAATGTGTGTCTCTCCCCGCCCCCTTCCACTCTCTCTGAAAAGCAATGGAAAATATATACTCTGGTGAGGATTAAAAAAAGTAAAGGGGGTCAATATATGGTGATGGAAGACTAGACTTCAGATGGTGGACACACAATAGGGTATACAGATGTGGTAGTATAAAAATATATGCCTTAAATTTACATAATATTATTAACCAATGTCACCCCAATAAATTTTTTAAAAGCCATATCATCAGACCATAAAAACTTTTAATACTAATCATTCAAAGCTTTATAACTGATAATGTTACAACTTCTCAACATACTGCCTGATTAAAGTGCTGAAGGCATCACAGCCTCCCTCAAATTTCTTCCCCATCCTGTAGAAATAATCTCCAAGGCTCCTCCCTCACTAAAAGTACATTCTGTTCCTAGTTCCTATTAACAAAGCAATTAATATTTGCTAAATAGACACTAATTAATTTGAACAAATTGGTATTGCTAAACCAAAAACCCAACTTTCTTAATTCATAAAAACATGTATCTTCCCACTGGAATTACCTCCAGCCAAAATATACCGAGTGGGGTGCATAGCATTGATGGAACACACAGAGACAAGGCATTCTCCACCAAGAAAAGAATGCACCCTCTTTCCAGTCTCATGGAAGATTTCCACCTGTCTTGGATAGGCCATGCTGCCAACAATAACACAGTCTTCTTGTTTAGGGTCCCACACAGCTTGGAACCTGGTCAGCCATCGCCCAGTAATGGTGTTGTGCCTAGTGAAAAAAACAATTTTTTAAAAGATAGTGTTAAATAACTCAAGGTAGCAATGGACAGAGAGTAGAGATAGCACTGCTCCTAAATGCTGGTTTTCTCTGCCAAGTTTCTTCTCTTTAAGTTACTAAATTACCATCAACCTAATCCCATCCTTCCTACAAGACTAAAACTCAGGAAACAGACAATGTCTTCTGCATTTCTGAATCTTGAGTGCTGAGTACAGTGGTTTGTTCTCAGTGGATGGTCACTGTCTATTGAAATGGCATCTTTTTTGTTCACTATTTCCTAGCTCAACAGATATTCCTCCTTTTTTTAGCACATACACATAGAAGGAGCACTAGAAGTATATAATCTGGTTATCACTTTTTTAACAAGAGCTATTTCCTTATTTGGAGTTCCCAAATAACCAAAACCTCAAATCATCTGATATTCTATACATCTCTAAAATAAAAAATACATTTGAGGCTCAAAGAAAAAAACCACAAGGGATATCAGAAATGTCAGCAGAAAAGTGAAAATGAAAACACAACATACCAAAATTTATGGGATACTGTGAAAGCAATACTAATAGGGAAATTTATAGCAGTAAACCCTTACATTAAAAAGATCTCAAAATCAACTTAACTCCACCTCAAGGAACAGAAAAAGGAAAAATAAAGAAAAACCTTACTACACAACACACCTCAAGGAAAAAAATAAACTAAACCAAAAGTTAGCAAAAGGAAGGAAATAATAAAGATTAGAGCAGAGATAAATGAAATAGAGAATTTAAAACAATATAAAAAACTAAGAGTTTGTTTTTCAAAAGAGACCAACAAAACTGAGAAACCCTTAGCTAGATTAAGAAAAAAATGCAAATAACTAAAACCAGAAATGAAAGAAGGAACATTACAACTAATGTCACAGAAATAAAAAGGATTGTAAGAGAATACTATGAACAATTATATGCCAACAAATTTGATAACACAGAAGAAATGGATAAGTTCCCAGAAATACACAATTTACCAAGACTGAATCGTGAAGAAATAAAAAATCTAAATAGACCTACAACTAGTAAGGGGATTAGAACAGTTATCAAACACCTCCCAAGTGACTAGAGTAGAGGGGAACATAAGAAAAGCCCAGCCATGGCTGGGTGGTTCGGTTGGTTGGAACATCATCCAGTACATCAGAAGTTGCGGTTTGATTCCCAGTCAGGGCACATACCTAGGGTATGAGTTTGGTCCTCAGTCGGGGCTCATACAGGAGGCAACCAATCAGTGTTTCTCTCTCACATCAGTGTTCCTCTCAAAAAAAAACTCCAGGACCAGATGACTTCACTAGAGAATTATAACAAACATTTAAAGAAGAATTAACACCAGGGCTCTTCAAACTCTTTCAAAGAACTGAAGAGGAGAGAACACTTCCAAACTCATTCTATGAGGTCATCCCTACACCTTGATACCAAACCCAGATAAGGATTCTACAAGAAAACTAAAAACTAATATCCTTGATGAATACTGATGCAGAAGTCCTCAACAAAATACTAGCAAACCAAATTCAACAGCACATTAAAGTATGCATCATGACCAAGTTGGATTTATACCTGGAAAGCAAGGATAGTTCAACATATAAAAATCAATGTACTGCCCTGGCCAGTATGGTTCAGTGGTTAGAGCATCAGCCCTCGGAATGAAGGGTCCTAGGTTCAATTCTGGCCAAGGGCACGTACCTGGGTTGTAGGCTCAATCCCTAGCCCCAGTTGGGGCATGAACAGGAGGCAACCAATCAATGTTTCTCTCTCTCTTTCTGTCTCTCTTTCTCTCCCCACCCCCACTCTCTCTGAAAAGCAATGGGGGGAATATCCTCGGGTGAGGATTAAAAAAAAAAAAAAAAATCAATGTACTATACCACATATTAAATGTATAAAGGACAAAAACCATATGATCATCTCAATTGATACAGAAAAATTATTTAACAAAATTCAATACCCTTTCATGATAAAAACACTCAACAAACTAGGAATATAAGGAAACTATCTCAACATAATAAAGACCATATATGAAAAGTCCACAGCTAATGTCATACTCAACAATGGAAAACTGAAGGCTTTACCTCTAAGATCAGGAAAATGGCAAGGATGCCCACTCTCGCGGCTTCTATTCAACCAAGTACTGGAAATCTGGTAAAACTAGAAAACTGGGTGGAACTAGAGACATTGACCTGCCTAACTTATGGGTCATTCACAACTTCACAGGTAACATGAAGTGTCCTGCACCTGAAGTGTCACCATTAAACCAATAAGCATTTGATAACGGGGACACATTCAGGGCAGTCACATGATAGTCAATTAGACAAGATGAAGAAATAAAAGTTGGAAAGGAAAAGGTAAAATTATCTCTGTTTGCATGACATTATCTTATATGTAGAAAATCTTAAAGATTCCGAACACACACAAAAAAACTTAAAAGCTGCAGGATACAAAATCAACAGTTGCATTTCTACACACAAAAAACAGTTGCATTTCTACACACTACCAATGACCAACCTCTAACAAAATCCCAATGGCATGTTTTGCAGCAATAAAAACCAAGGATCCTAAAATTAACATGGCATCTCAAGGGATCATGAATAGCCAAAACAATCTTAAAAAAGAATAAAGTTGGTGGTCTCAAATGTACTGATTTCAAAACATACTAAAAAGCAACAGTAATCAAGACAGTGTGGTACTGGCAGAAATACAGACCAATGTAAAAGAACAGGAAGCCCAGAAACAAACCCTCGTGTATATGGTCAAATGATCAAGAGTGCTAAGACCAAACAATGAGGAAAGGGCAGTCTCTTCAACAAATTCTGTTGGGAATACTGGACATCTACGTGCAAAAGGATGAAGTTACACAGTAAAAATGAACTCAAAATGGATTAAAGACCTAAACGTAACACCTTAAACTATAAATATGTGTTGTTGTTGTTTTCATTGATTTTAGAGAGAAAGGGAAAGAGAGAAAAGGAGGGGGGTGAGAGAAAGGGAAAGAGAGAAAAGGAGGGGGGGAGAGAAAAGGAGGGGAGAGAGAAAAAAATTGATGAAAAACATTGATTGGACATTGATTGGCTACCTCCTACATGTCCCCTACTAAGGATGGAGCCCACAACCTGGGCATGTGCCCTGACAGGGAATTTAACCTGCAACCTCTTGGTGCATAGAATGACACTCACACAACTGACCAACACTGGCCGGGCAACACCTTCAACTATAATACCTCTAGAAGAAAACAGGAGAAAAGCTTCAGGCATTGGATTTGGCAATGATTTCTTGTATATGACACGAAAAGCACAGGCAATAAAAGCAAAAATAGGACTACATCAAACTTTAAAATTCTGTGCATTGAAGAAAACAACCAACAAAGTGAAAAGGCAACCTACAAAATGACAGAAATGTTTGCAAATCATGTATTTGATAAGTGGTTAAAATATAAAATATGTAAGGAATTCCTACAATTCAACAACAACAAAAATGGCTCATTTCAGAAATGGCCAAAGACTTGAACAGACAATTCTTCAAAGAAGATATACAAATGGCCAACAAGCATATGAAAAGATCTGCAACATCAATAATCACTAAAGAAATAAAAATCAAAACCACAATGATATTACCTCACACCCATTAGGATAATAACAAACAAAAAAAAGAGAAAACAAGTGTTGATGAATATATAGAAATTAGAACCCTGGTTATACTCTTGGTGGGAATGTAAAATGATGTGGCCACTAATGGAAAAACAATATGGAGGTTCCTAAAAAGTTAAAACTAGAATTACCATATGATCCATTAAAATCCCCCTTCTGTTATCTATCCAAAATACTTCAAAGTAGGATTTTGAAGAGATATTTGCACACCCATGTTCACTGCAGCATTTTTCATAACAGCCAACAGGTAGAACTAACCCAAATGCCTAATAACAGATGAATAAAGAAAATGAGGCATAGATATACATGAAATATTATACAGACTTAAAAAGAGGAGGAGATACTGTCACATGCTAGAACATGGGTGATCTTCGAGGACATGATGCTAAGTAAAATAAGCCAGTCACAGTACGACAAATACCATATGATTCTACTCATATAAAAATCATAGAAATAGAAATTAGAAAAATGGTTGTCCAGGTCTGAGGGAGAGGGAAGAAAGAATTAACGTTTAATGCGCACAGAAGTTTCAGTTTTGCAAAATGAAAAAGTTCTAGAGCTCTGGCCGGTGTTGCTCAGTGGTTAGAGCATTGGCCCGTGCACAGAAGGGTTGCTGTCTGACTTGCAGTCAAGGTTGCAGGTTCGATCCCGCCCTTCGTACAGGCGTGTGCAGAGGCAACCAATCTATGTGTCTCTCTCTCCTCGGTGTTTCTCTCTCTCTTTCTCTCTCCCCTTCCCCCCCCCTTCTACTCTCTCTAAAAAAATGGAGCCTGGCCGGCATGGCTCAGCAGTTGAACATCTCCCTATGATACAGATCATGGTTAGATTCCAGGTCAGGGCAAATGCTCGAGTTGTGGGCTTGATCCCCAGCGGGGAGCATGCAGGAGACAGCCAATCAATGACTCTCTCTTATAACTGATGTTTCTATCTCTCTCTCCTTCTCCTTCCTCTCTCTGATATCAATATATATCTCTATAAAAAACCAATGGGAAAAAATCCTCAGTTGAGGATTAACAAAAAAACAACAAACAAACAAACAAAAGTTCTAGAAACCTGTTGTACAACAGTGGAAATATACCTAACATTATTGAACTGTACACTGAAAATGGTTAAGGTGGTGAATTTAATGTTATGTGTTCACAACCACAACAAAAAATAAATTAAAATTTAAAAAGTACATCTAGGGCTCTTTACAGCTCTCCAAAGCAAAAAGAAAAGTACTGCCCTTTTATTCTCTATACCTTATTACCATTAACAACCCTTTCTTATTGAAGAAGTATGCACTACAAAGAACCATATTTCCCACTGCCACTCAATGGCATTATCTTTAATGAAAATTTGTACTGACCCCAGTATCATCACCTTAGATAAATGTTTTAAAAATACAAATTAGGAACTAATAAACTAGAATAAAGTTTGAAAATGGAAATGAGAAATTTGTGAAAAGTAAAACAAGTATACTTAAATATAGCCTCTATAGCTATAAAACTCATAAAGCAACAATCAACATGTATTGCTCAACCTGTCCCCAACTTCACAAACACTGATAAAGTGAGAAGTCTAGGAAAAAGGCATTGAGTAAAGTTTGGTGTAAAAAACATACATTAAAAGTAGCAGATGTGAGAAAACAAGATGGCGCCGTAAGTAACAGCTGCACCCGCCGCCTCCCGCAAACACATCAAAATTACAACTAAAATACAGAACCACCATCACTCAGAACCTCCTGAAATCTAGCTGAACAGAAGCCCCACAACCAGGGGACTGAAGAAGCACCGAGACTGGTAGGAGGGGCGGAGACACGAGTGGATCGGGACTGAATCGGAGATGTGCTGCAGGCCCACACCCAGTGCCACAGTTTAAACCAGGGAGGGACATCTCTGCAGTAGACGTTTCCCTGAGGAGTGAGGGGGTCCCAGCCGCACAGCAGGCCCCCAGACCAGGGCTCCAGGACTGGGAAGAGACGTCCGCACAACTCCGGGCAGTGAAACCAGCAGGGACTACGGCTGAGGGTCAAGGAAGCTGCGGGAGTCCCAGGCATTCCTCTTAAAGGGCCCGCGCACGGACTCACTCGGATGCGCTCGCTCTGAGCCCCAGCACCGGGCAGCAGCTTGAAAGGAACCTGAGACATGTGGAGAGGAACTAACCTGCCCGAAATTGGGGTGACAGGTAGAGGGACGGCTTTCTCCCAGGCAGAAGAGCTAGCAGAGGCCACTGCTCCTTTGGGGAGTCCTCCTTGCACACAGCCGGCAGGCAGGCAGGCAACATATATGAATCGCCAGCACCTGACTCACACCTTTGGTCCCGCCCTGGTGATTCCCGAAGGCCTCGCCCCTCCCCACCTGCAAGCTCATCAAAGCCATTTCCAGTGGCTTTTCTATGCAAGTTGCCTCTAGAGCCTCACGCTTAGGACTTTCCTAAAATCTCTCAAACAAGCAGCAGCGGGCCCCATACAGCTTGATAAGTGAAAATAGCGGCAGCCTGCATTGGCTCATAGCTTGGCCTCTCCTGGACACCACCAAGCTCAGCACAAGTAGCAGCCAAATACGGTCTGCTGTGTAGCTCATGCTGGGTGGCCCTGGGCAAGGCACTGGTNAAATAGCGGCAGCCTGCATTGGCTCATAGCTTGGCCTCTCCTGGACACCACCAAGCTCAGCACAAGTAGCAGCCAAATACGGTCTGCTGTGTAGCTCATGCTGGGTGGCCCTGGGCAAGGCACTGGTACAGGCTGACTTTGCACCTCTCCAGGGGCGCCAGAGACAGTGCACCTGGTGGTCAGACTCAACCACGCTGGATTACAACCCTACCACATCCACAAGTGACACTCAAGGGGCACACTTGGTAAACACCAAAGCTCCACTGAAGTAAATCCTGTTCCATAGGGCTTCTCCAGCACAGCAGCTCTTTGGCTGTAGTTGCAGCTGGTCCTCACAGCTGACTGGCCTGAGGGTCAATTCCTCCCAGGGACACCAACAGCAACCAAGGCACAGCTACAACAGGACAGTGCACACAGCCCACACAGGGGAGCACCTAGAAGGCCCAGCTCAGGGGAGGCTGAGCCACTGGACCCTACAGGACACCTACTACACAAAGCCACTCTACAAATTCCAGGAGACATAGCAGCTCTACCTAATACATAGAAACAAACACCTGGAAGCAGCCAAAATGTGGAGGCAAAGAAACATGTCACAAAGGAAAGAACAGAAGAAATCTCTAGAAGAGGAACTAAATGAAATAGATCCAAGCAAGCTAACAGATACAGAGTTCAGAATTTTGTTTATAAGGATGTTTAAGCAGACTATTAGGGAAATAACTGAGAAAATCGATAACATAATAAAGTACCAATTTGAAATGAAGGCTACACGAACTGAAATGAAGAATAATTTACAGGGAATCAACAGTAGAGTAGAGGACACTGAGAATCAAATCAGCAATTTGGAACATGAGGAAACAAAAAATAACCAACCAGAAGAGCAAGAAGAAAAAAGAATCCAGAAATATGAAGATAGTATAAGGAGCCTCTGGGACAACTTCAAGAGGCCCAACATTCATATTATTGG